GTGTTGGTCAGTGTCAGGGTATCTCCATGAGGGGGGGGGGATTTTTGTGTTGCCTAGGACAGCGCGAAACCTAAATGCACCACTGCAACCCCTTGATGTATTTATAGGTTTCAATCATGTCTCCCCTTTCCCTTCTTTCCTCTAGACTGTACATGTTAAGTTCCTGAAGTCACTTCTGATATGTCCCCCGACCTTTCACCATTTTTGTTTCCCATCCCTGGACTCAGCCTACCTTATCAATATCTTTTTTGTAAGTGAGATCGGGACCTCCTTCCTCCCACCGGTGACCCCTCTAGTGAAATAAAGATCTATATAAAGGAATCAGGACCTCCTTCCTCCTGCCGGTGACCCCTCTAGTGATATAAAGATCTATGTAGAGGAATCAGGACCTCCTTCCTCCTGCCGGAGACCCCTCTAGTGATAGGATCTATATAGAGGAATCGGGACCTCCTTCCTCCTGCCGGTGACCCCTCTAGTGATATAAAGATCTATACAGAGGAATCGGGACCTCCTTCCTCCCCGCCGGTAGCCCCTCTAGTGAAATAAAAAGGTCTATATAGAGGGGATCGGGACCTCCTTCCTCCTGCCGGTGACCCCTCTAGTGATAGGATCTATATAGAGGAATCGGGACCTCCTTCCTCCTGCCAGTGACTAGTGATATAAAGATCTATATAGAGGAATCGGGACCTCCTTCCTCCTGCCGGTGACCCCTCTAGTGATATAAAGATCTATATAGAGGAATCAGGACCTCCTTCCTCACGCCGGTGACCCCTCTAGTGATATAAAGATCTATATAGAGGAATCAGTGGACCTCCTCCTTCCTCCTGCCGGTGACCCCTCTAGTGATATAAAGATCTATATAGAGGAATCAGGACCTCCTTCCTGACCCCTGCGGTCAGGACCCCTCTAGTGATATATAAAGATCTATATAGAGGAATCAGGACCTCCTTCCTCCTGCTGGTGACCCCTCTAGTGATATAAAGATCTATATAGAGGAATCAGGACCTCCTTCCTCCTGCCGGTGACCCCTCTAGTGATATAAAGGTCTATATAGAGGAATCAGGACCTCCTTCCTCCTGCCAGTGACCCCTCTAGTGATATAAAGATCTATATAGAGGAATCGGGACCTCCTTCCTCCTGCCGGAGACCCCTCTAGTGATAGGATCTATATAGAGGAATCGGGACCTCCTTCCCCGCCGGTGACCCCCTCTAGTGATATAAAGATCTATACAGAGGAATCGGGACCTCCTTCCTCCTGCCGGTGACCCCTCTAGTGATATAAAGATCTATATAGAGGAATCAGGACCTCCTTCCTCCTGCCGGTGAGCCCCTCTAGTGATATAAAGATCTATATAGAGGAATCAGGACCTCCTTCCTCCCTGCCGGTGACCCCTCTAGTGATTAAAAGATCTATATAGAGGAATCGGGACCTCCTTCCTCCCGCCGGTGACCCCTCTAGTGATATAAAGATCTATATAGAGGAATCGGGACTCCTCCTTCCTCCTCCTGGTGACCCCCCTCTAGTGATATAAAGGTCTATATAGAGGGATCGGGACCTCCTTCCTCCTGCCGGTGACCCTCTAGTGATATAGGATCTATATAGAGGAATCGGGACCTCCTTCCTCCTGCCAGTGACCCCTCTAGTGATATAAAGATCTATATAGAGGAATCGGGACCTCCTTCCTCCTTCCAGTGACCCCTCTAGTGCTATAAAGATCTATATAGAGGAATCAGGACCTCCTGCCGGTGACCCCTCTAGTGATATAAAGATCTATATAGAGGAATCAGGACCTCCTTCCTCCTGCGGGTGACCCCTCTAGTGATATAAAGATCTATATAGAGGAATCAGGACCTCCTTCCTCCTGCCGGTGACCCCTCTAGTGATATAAAGGTCTATATAGAGGAATCAGGACCTCCTTCCTCCTGCCAGTGACCCCTCTAGTGATATAAAGGATCTATATAGAGGAATCGGGACCTCCTTCCTCCTGCTGGTGACCCTCTAGTGATATAAAGATCTATATAGAGGAATCAGGACCTCCTTCCTCCGGTGACCCCTCTAGTGATATAAAGGTCTATATAGAGGAATCAGGACCTCCTTCCTCCTGCCAGTGACCCCTCTAGTGATATAAAGATCTATATAGAGGAATCAGGACCTCCTTCCTCCTGCCAGTGACCCCTCTAGTGCTATAAAGATCTATATAGAGGAATCAGGACCTCCTTCCAGACCTCCTTCCTCCTGCCAGTAACCCCTCTAGTGATATAAAGATCTATATAGAGGAATTGGGACCTCCTTCCTCCTGCTGGTGACCCCTCTAGTGATGCATCCTCGAATTCTATTTGCTTCCCCTACTGCCTAGCCAAAATGTTTGCTCATTTTGAAATCATCTGAAATAAGTACCCCCAAATCATTTTCCTCTGTAGTGCTGGCTAACAATATACCCTCAATGTTGTACTCTCACAGGATTCTTTTTCCCTAGGTGCATTATTATACATTTAGAAACATTGAACTGCACTTTCCACTTTGTTGACCAATCTTCCAGCAATGTCAAATCATGTCCCATGTTACATACACCTCCAGGGATATCAACCCTATTGCACACCTTTGTGTCATCAGCTAAGAGACATCCCCTTACCCAACAACCCTTTAGTTGTATCACTTACATGTGGATTAAATAGAACAGGACCCAGTACAGAGTCTTGGGGTACACCAATAGTGACTGCTCTCTGTTCCGAGTAAAGCCAATTTACAATCACACTCTGGTATCCACCCTTTAGCCAGCTGCATATCCCCTGAACCACCCAAGGGCTAACCCCTACCTCATGGGTGTCAAACTGGTGGCCCTTCAGCTATTGCCAAACTACAAGTCCCATGAGGAATTCCAAAACTGACAGTCACAAGCATGACTCCCAAAAGCAGAAGCATGATGGGACTTTTATTTTCGCTCTGATGAAGAAGGGACCTCCTTTGAAACGCGTCAGCCGTACTTTGAGAGTCTACCCTCGTGATGTGACTCACACTGGTTCTACACTCCTAAAGTTCCGTTGAGGACCTTATACGCTTGTTATACTTCTTTGCTTGTGAGTATTATTCTCAATTTAATAACATCACAGTTTACTGAGGTGATGCGCAAGGTTGGTGCGCTTTCTTTTTGTTTCACTTTGCAGTACTGGTCGGGCTTCCCCAGCCTTGTTTAGAGCCACACAACCTTCTATGCATTGGTGGTCAAATCTTCTCACGTTCCTTTTCCATCCCCCCTTGCTCTGGGTCATGGAGCGCAGGAGATGTTGTTTCTGTTTCCATTAGCACCGATAATGTGTTTGGCCTCCTTTTGATTGTTTTTATACTCTTCTCTGTCAGTTCCACCTCCTGTTTCCTTGAATCTCCGATATGCTGATTTTTTTTCCCCTTTATTATCCTAATTATCTCTTTAGTGAACCATATTAGGGGCGGACTGACCATTTGGAAACGCGGGCACTGCCCGAGGGCCCGGGATCAGTAGGGGGCCCCATGAGCTGCCCCTGGTACCTTTTTCATAGCCTTTTTTGAGTTTGGGCAAGGACACAGGGGCCCCATGATCCCCTATTGCCCGGGCGGCCCCATGATTGTCAGTCCGCCCCTGACCATATTGTTTTTTTCTTCCATTGATTCTCACAAACTAGCCTGACATATAATCTAGTTGCCTCCAGGATGGTAGACTCTAACAATGCCCACAATGCCTCTTCTCTGTCAGCTCCACCTCCTGTTTCCTTGAATCTCCGACATGCTGATTTTTTTTCCCTTTACTATCCTACTTATCACTTTAGTGAACCATATTGGGTTTATTCTTCCATTTATTCTTACTAACTTGCCTGACATATAATCTAGTCCAGAATGGTAGACTCTAACAATGCCCACTGATTACATACTCCTATCATTTTAATCCAACCTTTCAACTCATTTTTTTAGAAATTCTCCCATTTCAGCAAAATTTGTCTTTTTGAAATCTAAGGCGCTTGTTTTTGTACATGGTTTTTTAGTTCCTATTTTAATATCAAACCAAAGACATTGGTGATCATCAGAACTCTAATTTTCTCCCACCTCAACATTAGACAGTCGATCCCCATTTGTCAGTACTATGTCTAGAATAGGATCGCCTTGGGTTGGACTTTTTATTAACTGTTTTAGAGAAAGCCCCATTCAGTGCTTCCATTACATCCCCGCTCCTGCTTGTAAAAGCAGTTTGAGAATTCCAGTTAATGTCAGGCATGTTGAAGTCACCCATAATCAAAACCTCCCCCTTCATTGCCATTTGAATTATCTCGTCAGTCAACAAGTTATCATAATCTTCATTGCCATTTGAGTTATCTCATCAATCGACAAGTTATCATAATCTTCAGTCTGTCCCGGAGTTTGTATATTACACCAATTCTGGGGAAGATCCCTCTCTGGTTGGAAGGCAGACCTAGATGGTTTCAAGTATTTCATTTGTTTTTTTAATTATTATTATTATTATACAGGATTTATGGCGCCAATAGTTTGCTCAGCGCTTTACAATATAACGGGAGACAATACAGCAACAATACAGTTTAATACAAGAAGGATAGGAGGGCCCTGATCCTGGAAGCTTACAATCTAGGAGGGAGGGGCTAGTGGTACAAAAGGTAGTAACTGTGGGGGATGGATTGGTAGGAGGAGTAGAAGATTCCATTATTAGCGGGGGGCAGGATAGGCTTCCCTGAAGAGAGAGGTTTTCAGAGATCGCCTAAAAGTGAGCAGAGTAGGCGATAGTCTGATAAATTGCAGTAGAGAGTTCCAGAGGATGGGGGAAGCTCTGGAGAAGTCCTGGAGATAGCATGGGGAGGAGGAGACAAGGGAGCTAGAGAGCAGGAGGTCTTGCGAGGAGCGGAGAGTACGGTTTGGGTGATATTTGGAGACAAGATCGGTGATGTAATTTGGGCGGAGTTATAAATGGCTTTATACGTTATTGTTAATGTTTTGAACTTTATCCATTGGGCAACGGGAAGCCAGTGGAGGGATTGGCAGAGAGGGATGGAGGACACTGAGTGGAGGCCAGTGTGGAGGGATTGGCAGAGAGGGATGGAGGACACTGAGTGGAGGCCAGTGGAGGGATTGGCAGAGAGAGAATATAGGACACTGAGTGGAGGCCAGTGGAGGGATTGGCAGAGAGGGGTGGAGGACATTGAGTGGAGGTCAGGGAGGAATTGGCAGAGAGGGGTGGAGGACACTGAATGGAGGCCAGTGGAGGGATTGGCAGAGAGGGGGGCTGACACAGAATGGGTTGTAAGGTGTAAGGTGGATGAGTCTGGCAGCAGCATTCATGATAGACTGAAGAGGGGATAGCCTGCGATTAGGTTGGCCAATGAGGAGGGAGTTACAATAGTCAAGGTGAGAGATAACCAGGGAGGGAATAAGTTGCTTAGTGGTTTCCGAGGTTAGGAACGGCGGTATCTTCGAGATGTTGCGGAGGTGGAGTCTACTACAAGATTTGGACAGTGATTTGATTTGGGGCTGAAAGGACAGATGGGAGTCTAGGATTACACCTCGAGTACCCTGGCATGAGGGGAAGGACTGATGGTTGTGTTATTGATCTTGATGGAGAAGTCGGGGGAGGGGGCACAGGCTGGGGGGGGGAATACTAGGAGCTCAATTTTGGAAAGATTGAGTTTGAGGAAGTGGAGTGACATTCATGCTGATATGTCACTTAGTAGGTTAGCATTAATTAATGTTAGCATTATGATATTTTTGACATATGGCAGCTCTACCTCCACTCTACCCTACTCTGTCTTTCCTGTATAGTGTATACCCTGGTATAGTCATTTGAATCCTTGAACCACGTCTCTGTAGTTGCAACAAGGTCCAAGTGGTCCCTAGACATAAGAGCTGTCGGCTCACAAAGCTTGTTGCCTAAACTCCGAGCATTAGTGCAATGACATGACAAACACTGTGATCTACCGCTTTATTTTTACCACCAGAAATTTTAACTGAAGTGACCCCATCAGCCCCGTCCTGAGCAACCCTCACATTTGTTTCAACCTGCTGGGGACAGAAATGCTCCTCAGCAATTACATCTCTGTCCACATTTCTCAGTTTAAATGCATGTCGGAAAATTCCTAAATTCCATACTAAGAAGCTCAGCGCCCTTGTGTGAGGGATGCAGACCATCTCTTTGGTACAGCTCGATGTCGGCCACTGGATAGCATCATGACTAACATAACCAAAACCTTCAGCTTTGCACCAATCCTTTAACCATTACACCCTGCTATACAAAGTACTTCCTCTCGTCCATTATGCACAGGTACGACCTTCGAAAATGTAACAGTACACCCTAACTCACGGGTGTCAAACTGGCGGCCCTCCATCTGTTGCCAAACTATAAGTCCCATAAGGTATTGCAAGACTGACAGTTACAAGCATGACTCCCAAAGGTAGAGGCATGATGAGGACTTTCACAACAGCTGGAGGGCCGCAGTTTGACACCCTTGCGGCCTAACTGTTGAACATCCTGGCCTAAATACTGAAAATCCTTCTGCACAGAACACACATCATTCGGGGACAAATCATTTGTGCCAAGGGGCATGACAACATCAACGTTGCAGTCTTTACTAGCTTTGTTGACAATTTTTCAAATACGCTGACTAGTCAACTTTGGTGACGGATGGTGTCCTGGGGGATTCCCTCCCACATCTGGACCAGGGCATCACTGAGCTCCTGGACAGTCTGAGGTGCAACCTGCTGGTGTTAGATGGACCGAAACATGACATCCCAGAGGTGTTCTATTGGATTTAGGTCAGGCAAGATGGGGGCCATTCAATGGTATTAATTCCTTCATCCTCCAGGAACTGCCTGCATACTCTCGCCACCTGAGGAACCCAGGACCCACTGCAACAGGAGGAACCCAGGACCCACTGCAACTGCATCAGCGTAGGGTCTGACAATGGCCCCAAGGATTTCATCCCGATCCCTAATGGCATCAGTGTGCCATTGTCTAGCCTGTAGAGGTCTGTGCGTCTCTCCATGGATATGCCTCCCCAGACCATCACTGACCCACCACCAAACGGTCATGCTGAACCATGTTACAGGCAACAGAACGTTCACGGTTTCTCCAGACCCTTTCACGTCTGTCACATGTGCTCAGGGGGAACCTGCTCTCATCTGTGAAAAGCACAGGGTGCCAGTGGTGGACCTGCCAAATCTGGGGTTCAATGGCAAATGCCAATCCAGCTCTATGGTGCCAGGCAGTGAGCACAGGGCCCACTAGAGGACATCGGGCCTCAGGCCACCCTCATGAAGTCTGTTTCTGATTGTTTGGTCAGAGACATTCACTCCAGTGGCCTGCTGGAGGTCATTTTGTAGGGCTCTGGCAGGGCTCATCCTGTTCCTCCTTGCACAGGGGAGCAGATACCGGTCCTGCTGATTGGGTTAAGAACCTTCTATGGCCCTGTCCAGCTTTCCTATAGTAACTGCCTGTCTCCTGGAATCTCCTCCATGTTCTTGTCTCCTGGAATCTCCTCCATGCTATCGTCTCCTGGAATCTCCTCCATGCTCTTAAGACTGTGCCTGGAGACACAGCAAACCTTCTGGCAATGGCACGTATTGATGTGCCACCCTGGAGGAGTTGGACTGCCTGTGTAACCTCTGTAGGGTCCAGGTATGGCCTCATGCTACTGGTGGTGACACTGACCAAATGCAAAAACTAGTGAAAAACAGTCAGAAAAGATGAGCAAGGAAACAAATGTCAGTGGCCTCCACCTGTAAAACCATTCCTATGTTGGGGGGGTCGTCTCATTGTTGCCCATCTAGCACACCTGTTGTTAATTTCATTAATACCAAAGCAGCTGAAACTGATGAACAACCCCCTCTGCGACTTACCTGACCAGATCCATATCCCAGGAGTTTTAATGACTCGACACTAGACTTGGATTACAAAGTCTAAGTTTCTTAAATTTTTTGGAGCAGTCTATATATATATATATATATATATATATATATATATATATACATTTTTTTACATATAAATATGTAGCAGAACACATTGTGGCCTAAATTTATTAAGAAATGTGATTTTTAATTTATATATATGTGTGTGTGTGTGTGTGTGTGTTTTATAGCAGAATATATATACAGTTGCAAGAAAAAGTATGTGAACCCCTTGAGATTACGTGGAGTTTTGCATGAATTGGGCATAAAATGTGCTCTGAACGTCATCTAAGTCACAACCATAGAAGAACACAGTCTGCTGAACATAATACTACACAAACATTAGATGTTGCCATGGTTTAATTGCACATAATATGTAAACATTCACAGTGCAGGGAGGAAAAAGTATGTGAACCTTTGGACTTAATAACAGTTTGACCCTCCTTTGGCAGCAATAACCTCAACCAAACGTTTCCTGTAGTTGCAGATCAGACCTGCACAACGATCTGGAGTAATTTTGGACCACTCCTCTTCACAAAACTGTTTCAGTGTGGCAATATTCTTGGGATGTCTGGTGTGAATCGCTCTCTTAAGGTCATGCCACAGCATTTCAATCGGGTAGAGGTCAGGACTCTGACTGGGCCACTCCAGAAGGCGTATTCTGTGCTGTTGCAGCCATTGTTTTGTTGAATTACTTGTATGCTTTGGGTCATTGTCCTGTTGCATCACCCATCCTCTACGGAGCTTCAGTTGGCAGACAGATGGTCGTACGTTTTCCTGCAAAATGTCTTGATAAACTCTGGAATTCATTTTCCCATCAATGACAACAATCCGTCCAGGCCCTGAGGCAGCAAAGCACCCCAAACCATGATGCTCCCTCCGCCATGTTTCACAGTGGGATGAGGTTTTGATGTTGGTGTGCTGTGCCTTTTTTTTCTCCACACATAGTGTTGTGTGTTCTTCCCAAACAACTCAATCTTGGTTTCATCTGTCCACAGTATATTTTGCCAGTAGTGCTGTGGAACATCCAGGTGCTCTTTTGCAAACTTCAAACGTGCTATAATATTCCTTTTGGACAGCAATGGCTTCCTCCGTGGTGTCCTCCCATGTACTCCATTCTTGTTTAATGTTTTCCTTATTGTAGATGTGTCAACAAAAATGTTAGCATGTGCCAGAGATTTCTGTAGGTCTTTAGCTGACACTCTGGGATTCTTCTTTACCTCATGCAGCATTCTGCGCTGTGCTCTTGCAGTCATTTTTACAGGACGACCACACCTAGGGAGAGTAGCAACAGTGCTAAACTTTCTCCATTTGTAGACAGTCTGTCTTACCGTGGACACATGAACATCAAGGCTTTTGGAGATACTTTTGTAACCCTTTCCAGCTTCATGCAAGTCAACAATTATTGATCGTAGGTCTTCTGAGAGCTCTTTTCTGCGAGGCATGGCTCACATCAGACAGTACTTCTTGAAACCAGTAAACCCAAAGCAGGTGTGTGTTTATTAAGGGCAGGAACAGCTGTCAGCAACACATCCAATATCATCACACTGATTTGGAGTCAAGGTTGGCTCACTCCTGGCTCTAAATAGCTCTGGGAGAAGTCATTAAGCTAGGGGTTCACATACTTTTTCCTCCCTGCACTGTGAATGTTTACATGTTATGTGCAATTAAACCATGGCAACATCTAATGTTTGTGTAGTATTATGCTCAGCAGACTGTGTTCTCTTCTATTGTTGTGACTTAGATGACGTTCAGAGCACATTTTATGCCCAATTCATGCAAAAATCCACGTAATCCCAAGGGGTTCACATACTTTTTCTTGCAACTGTATATATTATTTTTTTTTTTTTCAAAATTGTTGGTCTGTTGGTTGTTTATAATGCAAAAATTAGGAATTTCAGAGGTCATCAAATACCACCAAAAGAAAGTTCTATTTGTGGAAAAACATTACACTTTTTTAGCCCCCCCAAAATTTCCATTGTGATTTCCTCGGCCCATTGGAAGTGATTGGCAGACACAATATATCATTATAACCCAAACCGGTGACCCTGATGCCCATTCTCTGAGGTTTATCCTCGTAATTCACGAATCCCAGCGTTGGGTAAATGGAAGGGGAGCATTCCTCCACCATGTCACCTCTGCCCAGCAATCGGTGTTTTTCCCTCCCCAAGGCTCTTCACCTTCATAAATTAATACATTAGTCTCTCCATTTGCGCAGTTTTAACCTCGATAATGCTTTTACCTTGCATTGATTTCAGATTTACGTTTTCACGGATCATAATATATCCACCTTGTATTTAGAAGTGCATTCACTGCGTCACGTTGTATAGAGGAGAAGATAAGCGCAGCCGCCTATCACCTTTGAGTTTTGTGTTCTGAAAGCTTTTATAGTTTCACCTTGGAACATCCTTTTTTTTTTCTCCCCCCATTGAAATTATTAGTCTTGTATCAAGATAATGCAACCTTTAATGCTGCTAATTGAATGGTGTTTTAAATCACTTAAA